TTTGTCTCCCAATATGTCAAAATTGTTCTGCAAATCAAGTGCCTCCTACGGTCTAGCTTATTGGAGGAGGAACTTGGTGAAGCACACGCGAGCCTTATGGAAGCGTGCAAGGCATGAAATGCCATCCGAAAGGGCATCCCAGCACATGGGCCAAATTCTTGGCAAGGCACCCATTGGCTTTGTCTCCCAATATGTCAAAATTGTTCTGCAAATCAAGTGCCTCCTACGGTCTAGCTTATCGGAGGAGGAACTTGGTGAAGCACACGTGAGCCTTATGGAAGCGTGCAAGGCATGAAATGCCATCCGAAAGGGCATCCCAGCACATGGAACATGGGCGCCTTCAAGAACTTCCTTATCGCCAACCTTGGGGCGCTGAAGAGACACTTTAATGCCTTACCACAGCGTGCTCGACGGGGCCCACCTTTGGCGTTTGTGTATTTGTTTTAAGTAGAGCGTCTTGCTTATTATACCGTAGTAAGGTTGGGTTTGCCCAAGCAACCTCTTCTTTCACCAGAGGGCTTGGCCCAATGATTTTCCTGACACCGTCCCATTGAGACGGAGTTGGAGTCTGCTTTCAAATGGCAGCCTGCGCGACAGAAGGGATGATTGACAGTTAAGTATCCTGCGTACTCAAGCAAGCTTGTAAAGCCATTGCGGATCCAGGTGTTGCCACAGTTTCGCACAAGCATTCCGCGAACAAACGGTTGCCAGCTTCGTTCTCTACACTGATCGTTAGGTGGGAGCAGCTCTCTTTGCCGCACCGTCATTAGCCACAGCTTGGGCGCTGAAGGCACTTGGCAGAATAAAAGCACCGTCTTATACCGTGACTTAACACACAAGTGCAGAGGGCAAGCTCCCTTTCAGCTTCCAAAAATATTGAGGCACCGTGTCGGAACTGCAGGCTCTAGAGCCTCTGCCCAATGCCGTGTACTGCGTGCCCTATTAGGCGGCGCTTGAAAGTGACGGCGCTGCCAAGTACCTCACGTACCCAGGATGTTGGCCCCACCAAAAAGAGGGCCGGCGCCGCAGGTTGATGCTCCAATTTGAACACAAGGCTGGCATTGAACAGGCCCCGCAAGGCCTGCGTTCACTTCCAGTAAAAGCGGACAACGCCCTAAGAGACGGCGATTGACTCAGACTCCCCGGGAAACAGCCCTGTACCTGCGGGAAGTACAAATTCGGTGGCTGCTAAGCAACCTCCACCCGCCACCCTTCAGGGCGGCAGGAGAGTGACCAGATAATTCTTGAACCCAATTCTGCTCAAGTCAGAGTGGGCCCTGCGCTCTCCAAACCCTAAGCCACGTCCGAAAGCGGGCAAACCAGTCAGTCCAGGGTGAGGCAGGACGCATTACGAACGCCATGTAGCACGCCGCGGGCCACAACCGGGCAGCAGGGAAGGGAGCAAGTGACCCATTGGCACCAACTTCCCAGTCGAGCTTTGGCTCACGTGCCGGAACATCTTGTGGCGCGGGGATGTGGCCAAAGTCTCTCCCACCCCACCTCTCCCTGCAAAAAAGTCCCCTGGTGCTAGACAATGCAAAGCCGCAGAAGCCACCAAAAGCGAAGCCTCGTGGTACAAGCTCCCCTCTGTGAAAAGCAGAGCTCGCGCAGCTGTCTCTTTTTCACTTCGCACTTGAGCCAAACACCAAAGTGTTCAGCAAGCTTCAGTTCTTGCAGCAAGCTCTCTCCAAGAGCTAAGGGCTCCAAAAAGCTACGAATTCCATCTCAACTTTGTTCTACAAAGGAGGTAAAGCAAAAGAACAATGCAACTGCTTTGGGCTACACCTCGGGGACTTCAGGTCACTTCCGAACAGCAAAACAGCGAAGCTTCAGAGTCCACTCTGCACTCCTACTCCCATCCTACACGTCCAACGGCAACGAACGAAGTGGCGGGGACACGGAGTGAGTTGCAGCAAGACAGAACCTCAGAGTTCTGACACGCACTTCTTCACTACTGCTCTCAAGCAGTTCCAAGTGCTTCAAAACTCATCCTAGGCCATGCCAACAAAACAAGACATGCGTCGCAGTCAACCCAAACATGCTTTAAGGACTTTGGGCAAACCAAACATGCTCATGCCAAGTCATGCAGCAGAAAACTCTCATGCTTCTCTCTGTACAGTCAAAAACACCACATGGCACCAACTGGGCAAACACTACAGGTGAATTTTTCTTCAGCAAGCGCGAAAGCGTTACCCAGTGGGCGTCCATCATGCAAATGAATTCACCCGGAGCCCCTAAGGGGCGAGACATAGTCTCTCGGGCTGGTCGGCCAACCTGCTACGGCAAAACCTCAGCTCAAGGCTGGGAATGTGGTGCACCCACTTACTACCTACAGGCGCCTATGACACAGTTTAGAGGCTCTGACCGCTAGTAGAACAGGTCAGATGGAGGACTGTGGCTTTCACTCGTCCGAGTCGCCAGCTGTACAAAGCACTTCGCTTTTCCTACTCCTCTCATCGTACTGACCATAGCCCAAGCAAAAGACCTGCTCCCAGCAGCTAGTCTGTGTCCATCACATCAGAGGAAGGAATTCTCGAAACCGCAGCCCCTAGGCTGGGAATCCATGGCATAACAGCACCCGCACAGGAGCACAAGCGACTGTCATGCACTGATTCCACAGCCTATAGGCCCGGTTGAACACAGCCAACGAACTTCCAAGCCTCACGCCCAAACAACCCAAGGGGGTCCTCTATCTCACCGTGCACAAAGCAGCAGCCCCTCAATTTGGTACCTTTAGCGCGGGGCCCACGCACTCCCCTCAACCAGGCGCAGGGAGCGACGCTTTCCCTTCAACTAACTACGTGCAGGCGCAGGGAACAACGCCCTGCTAGACTTTCTGCAAGAAAAGATTTCGAAACCCCGAAGACTGCTCCCAGGGACCTGCTGACTGCTCGCTGGGAAAGGGCCAAAACGAACCACATGGACCCACACAGTAAGGGGACCTTCCCAGGCAGCTGCAAGCAAGGGAAGGAAACCCACTGCCCCTGTAAAACCCCAGACTGTTTCAAGGGAAGGGCCGAATAAGGACTCTGGGCCCCACGGCACGCCGACCCGTATGATCTTTGGTGCCAGCGGGCCAACTTTTTCTCAAAGTGCTAAAAAGGGAAACAGGGCAGAAAACCTCGGCAAAAGCCTATGCCAGCAACAGCATGTTGCATTTTTTGCCTCTGCGCTACACCCTAAACCCCAAAAGAGAAAACACCGGATCAAAAGGGACAGAATCCGGACAACAAGCCAAAAAAAGCTCATCACCCTTGCAATCTCGCACAGCGAAGAAGAAGGAGTGACTATTGGCCTGCACCTCGCGAGCCTGCAATTAATGCCCAGTGAGGAGACGAGATACAGGTCCTGAGCTGCCTGGAAAGCCCCATGGTGCGCTTATCCCATACCTGGTGGTAGGGCGAAGGCAGGCAGTCCATGCAAGGAGGGAAAGTGACTCAGCCGGCTGCATCCACCGTCAGCTAGCAGGCAGCACTGCCAAGTACCTACCCTAGAACCAGCCCTAAACCCAGGGGACCAGCGGCAGGAGCAGTCACAAGGTCTGAGAAAAGGACTACTCTCTGCCGCCGGCGTGTAGGCCTGCAGGGAAGCCCCAGACAACCCTACAGAGGGCCTAAAGCCGCTGCCCCATCTCAAAGTGAGGCCATTACCAAACGCATCCTAACCAAAAGGCTTAACGTCCTCCGCACATGGGCAACTGGCCGAGAACGAAACGCGCTGCAACCATCTAATTAAGGCGAAAATCCAATGGCGAGCAAGGAACCACACAGCTCCCTCTGTGCCGGACACTCTGCTGGCACTTGCTTGGGTGCATCTGCATGGTTGGGGGAAAAAGCCAGCCTCAACACAATTTGCGAGGCCCGGGTTTAGGATGCATCACAACCCCCATTGTCCCTTCAGAGACTATTGGATGGGACCAGGGCCAACAAGCCTCGCAAGGAACCCCAAATCACTGAAGCGAAGACCATGAGAGCCCAGGCTGGGCCGACCTCACGACACTACACGTGGATAGGCCTGCCTGTGAGGAGTGCTATGCCAGATTTCCGCCGATACCTCAAACTACCAGCGAGGCCCTGAGAAGGCCACTTCTGATGTGCAAACCACAGCCTCAAGGGCGGGGCAGTACACCTCAGCCTACCGTCGAGGACAGGTGGGGTCTGGATAGAAGTGGCACAACAGCGTCCAGGACGAACCTGCCTGCAAAATTGCTTTGAAGCTGCAACTGTTGTATGACTAATCTGATCGGCGCGGCTAGTCCCAACTCAGCCCGTTCGCCTTCAGGAGAGCTGCTTCCGCACGATAGACCAGCCAAAACTAGGTGAAAGTTGCACAGCAATTCAAGCAAATTGTTAAGCCAAGTAAAATCAAGAAATCAAGGCACCACTATGGCAAACTAAGGCCGGCGGCCACGACAGCACTGAAGGCCTGAGCACACACGCCTCCTAGCTGGAGGGGAAGTGATGCCCACCTCCCACCTGGAGGGGATGTGGTGCCCACCTCCCAGCTGGAGGGGTTGCTCAGTAGCTCAAGGAAGGACCAATGCGGAACCACAGCCCCAAGGCCGGGTAAAAGCTCTGACACGATATGGCTCGGGCGAATAGGCCGAAAACAAAAGGGGTCCGGTACCTTAACACAGTTGAGGCCCGAAACCCAGGTTCACAGCTACTCGCTCAGCTAACTGTGCAGGCTGCAGCCTTGATGCTTGAGCCAAGGGCTTGAGCCGGGTGAATTTTTCTTCAGCAAGCGCAAAAGCGTTATTCAGTGGGCGTCCTTCATGCAAACGAATTCGCCCGGAGCCCCTTTGGGGCGAGACATTGTCTCTCGGGCAGTCGGTCACCCTGCTACGGCAGAACCACAGCTCAAAAGCTGGGAAGTGGTGCACCCACAGGCCATCTACAGGGAACTATGTTACAGCTACTGCCACAGCTACTCAGCAGAAGGAGTTGCGACCTCAGCCCAACTGGATGCCCCCAGTGAAGCAGCTCTGTTTCCACAGCCTCCTAGGCCGGGGTGGTGCACAGCCAGCGAACTTCCTCCCCCAAGGGTCCCAGGGTGTTACATATCTGGTCAAAACACGCCTGGGGTGGACCCCTGGAAACTTGCCGAAAGTAGCCCGCATCATGGGGGCAGTATTTGGCAACTACCCTCCAAAAGCCAGTCCATTCCGGCCTCCCATGGGAGGGGCCCCAGTTGTTGGCATCGATGAAGGCCGGAAGGGGAACCATCCTCGTGACCTGCGGCCTGTGGCTCAGGTTGGAAATGCCAACATCCTTGGCATCTACCCCACAGACATACAAGTGCAACAAGGTGGCCAACGTGGCCAGAAGGTAGGAGTGCACACGGAGACCATTGGCAGCATTTTCCTGGAGCCACTCACGGGCCTGGCAACGGTGCTCTTGCACGTGGTACAGGAACCGGCCCGCACCTGGCACACCTTCGGGTCCTAGCCCAATCCACATGGAGCCACTGGTGAGGATGGGAGCCATGAGCCGGGGAAAGCGCCGCGCCATATCGATCTCCGGAGTGGAAACCGAGGCCTGGGCATGAAAGGACAGGGTTTGGTTATTGTGGAGCTTTTTACAGGGTTTCTGGAGACCTAAACAAGGCTGAGAATGGCCTGGAAGGAGGGTAAGATGGCACCCGGAGCACAGCCATCTACGTCCTTCATTTTTGAGCCGGTGCGTCGGGTGAAGGGTAGGCCAGAACTGGGGACCGTTATGGGGCATGTCAATGCACGGCTGCGCAAGCAAACGTTCTAGCCTATCCATCTCTGCTGGAGGTAAAGCTTACACTTCGCACAAGTGATTGCAAGATTATTAGTTTTCAACCCCCCTACTTGCCAGACATGACCACCTACTGCTTCCGGGACATCCACTTTTGCCAGCAAAAGCTGGCGCTTATTAGGCCCTTTGGGTGGTTGGGGTTCCTCTCTTTGGCTTCGGGGAACAAAATCATCTTTTGAGGCGTGTTTCAAAACAACCACAGCTCGCGACGCCAGGTAGTCACAGATCCTGGTTACGAGCCTATCCAGGTCCTGGACTTTCCGCCCCGCTACAGGCGAGATGGTGGCAGCCCGTTTGCCTGCCAGCTCGTCCGCACATTGGTTGGCCTGGTGTCTCCAAAGCTGGGAAAAGCCAAACCGCATTTCGAACTCACGGCTAGTTAGGTGGGATTTTACCCAAGTGGGCCTTATCCTACCACGGTCCTCCCAGACCGGGCCCCAAAAAGCCAGGGTCGTTTTTTGAAAGGATTTTTTGGAAAGGGTCCTTAGGGCTGGTTTACAGTCCCCCGTGAGGTCAACCTGACCAAGGGTGTGTTTGATCGTCTGCATGGCAAAAGATTCACCGTGCGCGACGCTTGTTCCGGGGGGGGTGAGGCCGGACATGGTTCCTAACTCATGAAACTGACCATTTTGAACCCGCCCCACGACTACAGACCAGCTCACCCTTCGCAATCTCGGATCCTTGGTGAACATGCCCCCTGACGCGTCCGTAGCAACCACCAGCCCGTCTGCTACTACCTGGGAGGACGTAAGAAACACGCCTGTCTTGACCACTTCTAGGTCCCCCAAGGGAGCGACTGGGAGGTATTTAAGGGGAAGCATACCCCGAAGCCACAGGCAGTCCTCAGGGAAACGGCGCTTCTCCGCCAGAACATACCCCGGTAACCGCATGCCACCGGGGAAGGAAGGGCACTCATACATGAGGTGGCGCAAGGTGGTTCCGGAATCACCACAAAACTTACAGACATCCTTGCCACCGTTGCCGTTATGGAGAATGGACCCTTGGAAAACCGCCCGATAAGCGTACCGGGTAGTTTTAGTGCGCACTGACTTGAGCAGGCGACGCGGGACGGTCCAGTCGACCCCGCCACCAGCACCCGCTGCCGACGAGGCCGATCCCATGCGACGAGACCTCTGGGTCTTGATGATGTCCGTGAGGAAGGACGAGGTTTGGCAGACAACCGAAACCTCAGAAGGCTTGATCTCAAGAACACGCTCCTCAAAAACCCAGCGGGAAGGATCGTGGCCGTCGACCTGGAGGTCGCGGAGGTATTGACACATGGCTGAGATGGGTCCGGTGACCACGGACCAGCCGTGCTTCGCAGCCTCCAGCCGCTTCCAGACCACTCTCCAAGTGTCCTTTACTGCCTCCCAGCCCATGCGGTTGCATCTGGCCATCATCCTGAAGAGACTTTCCACATGCTGGGTCACCACAATAAGGTAAGGATCCTGAACCTCATGGGCTGTCATGTCTAGGATGGTGTCCGTTGAACCGTATCGGCTCCTGCCTGCGTGTCGGGCCACCGCTGCGCGCATAGTTTTCATATGTTTAGGGGCGACCCCCTGTGCCTCATGGCCATAAAGACCCGAAGTGACTACACTAGAACGATGCAACCGCAGCCGGACACGGCGTGACGGAATGCGAAGCTTACCCAACTTCAGGTTACGGAGGCCACCTACCCGGAAGCGTTTCTGGGCAGTAGTGGTCCTGCGCCGGCGTCCACTGCCACTGTCAAGGCCTAAATCCTTGACCACGTCGACTAAGTCAGGGTCCCCTGGCCGCAACAGCTTTCGCAGCGCCGCAGCTGAGCGGGGTGCGCCGGCCACAAATTTTGTTTTCTCTTGGCTGAGGACGAGACCTTCAGCCTGAAGGCTGGACTTGAGCACTCGAAAGGCTTCATAAGCCGCTCCCGCGGCTATATCCGGCGAGGCGTGGAGGGAATCTGCAGAGACATCGTCCAACCATACGTCGCAATGATCCAAGCCTGTGACTCGGTTCAGTCTATGTAAGGGTTCGGACATGGTAAGCTTGGCCAAGGTGGGAGCGTACGGGCATCCCTGGATCATGCCCCGGCCTGGGAAGATGGTTGGACTAGGCTGGGATTCACCCACCACCGTGCGACCACCTTGGTAGAGGCGAAGGGAGAGGCACAGGGCCAAGGCTGGGAAAGACAACCGCAAGCCTTGTTCGCAAAGCCTCTGCCAAGAAACGCTGTCGTAAAACCCATTAATGTCTACGAACAACGAGACAGTGTGCAAGTCCTTGACTCTGGCAGACTCTTTGGAGCATTTCCTGGCCAGGGCAACGTCTAACGAGGTACGGCCTGGAATCGCCGAGTCAAAAGGGTGATCAGGAATGTAAGAGTCCAGCCACTGGCCGACCAAGAACCGCCGAGTCTTACACCAAAGCCGCCATAGGACTGATGTAAGACCGATAGGTCTTTCCTTCAAGGCACTCTTGGCCAGAAGAACAATCTGGACCTGAGAAACTTGGAGGGGAATGACAAGGTCCTCCTCCATTTTGTTGAAGACATCGGCGAGAACTGCATACGCGTCCCAAGGCAGGTCCCGAAGATCGTTGAAATCCCAGCCGTCCGGGCCTCCTTTTTTGGGATTTTTTGCGGCGCATATCTTGGCGACGGAGCTAGCAGAATGCTTGGGCAGGGAACGGACCTGCTCCCGGGCTAAGTCACACAAGGCATCCCATACTTCCCCCTGGAGCGGGGCTGGCGACACCAGGTTACCCTGCCATACCTCACACCAAAATTCTAGCCGCCTATAGGGCCGCGCCAGGGGAGTGAACTCCCGATACGGCCGTTCCAAGGTTTGCTCGTCAGCTCGAAGGGAGCGGTAAAGGGGGCGGAGGTGATCATTTTGCGCCTCTTCCAGCCACTTGGAGTAAGACTCGGAGTTCTGGGAGGTCTGGGAGGCCAAAGCTTCTTTATATTTGGTCTCGACCTGGGGCACCAACTCCCGAGTGAGGCTGCTGCGGTCATCAGCATGAACCCAGTCCTTTAGGACGGGAAGAAGGGGGTCGTCCGGAGGGATGGAGGCAAAGGCCTCGGAGGATTTAGGGACCATCCCTGTCTGAAGCCAGGTGCGCCATCTATCCCAGATAGCCATAGGCCCTCCTGTCTGGGTGCGAGGCCAACGGCCTGCGGGGAAGGTCGACCCACCAGCCCTTTCCTGTGGTGGCCTGGGACTGGAGGTCGCGGGACCATTGGCCCAAGGCAATAGAGGACTCCTCCTGGGACGACACATCCAAAATCTGGACCAGCTGCACTGGGGAGCTGGCGTGGAAGGAGGAGGGAGCCGGGGACACCACCGACCTGATGGTGGGGACTCTCAGCTGAAGGGAGTGCACTGGCACGTCCAAGGTTAGAAGTCCGTGAGGCTTGAAAGGAGTGTCAAATGACAGCCGGACCGTCGACAGGGAGTGAAGACTGGGATGGACGACGAAGAAGTCAAGCTCGGAGTCCCCTCCCGCCGTGGGGGACCCACTGCCCACCACACGGCCCTGCCACCGTTCTTCATACCTGGAGTTAAGGAAGTCCTGGATCGGAACGTTAAAGTCCCCACCAACCACCCACATGCCTTGAAGGAGGGACAAATGTTGGGTAAGGCTGGACAGGATAAGGTCATTGACTGGGCTATCCAAGCCCGTCCCACTTTCCAGGTACAAGGAGATCCAATTGAAATCTACCCCTTTGGAACGCAAAGCCACAATAACATAGCCACAGCCCTGCGAGGCGTGGAAAGTCACTATGATCCTGGGTCCCAAGTGATTTTTGACTGCAATCCCTACACCTCCTAGGGGGTTACCCTTGGCACTTTTCGGGCTAGCAACACCAAAGAGCACAAACCCTAGATTCATCAAATGACGAGTCTCACTCTTAAGGTCCTCTTTGGTAAGGTGAAGTTCTTGCAGCATAAGAATGTCCGGGGACAAGGTGTGGGCCCATTTCCGGTGACTCGACCGCCATCGGGTGACATTGGCCGAACAGACCTTGAGATTCCTAGGTTTAGCTTCGTAAGAGTTTGCCGAAAGATCCTCCGAGCCTCGAAGGACAAAAACCCAGTCACTTGGGCTTGGGCTGGGGGAAGCAAGGGCCTGAAACATTTTGTGGACCACCAAATACTCCAAGGTCAAGGGGTCGGTGGGTTCGTCATCTTCGAAAAGGCCGACCATGTTAGACTCCACAGAAGGAAAGCCCTGCTGAAAACCCCTGGACACCAAACCCGCTAACTGGCCCCACTTGTCCATCTTTTCATGCGGGGTCATAGTGTTCCAGGCTACGATAGCTGAATCCAAAGGCTCCCTAGCCTTGAGAGGCCGGGCCGTCCTGTTGCGACGTCGTCGGGTTCTTCTGCTGCGACAAGACGACTGGGTACCTGTGGGTCGAGATCCACCTCCTAAGACGAGGGGAGTAGAAGTACTGGGGGTTTCATACAACTGCATGTCGCACAAAGCCTCCAGAGGAAAATACCTCGGCCCCGTCACCAAAGGATGGTGGACCACCTCATATTGGCATAGCGCTGCTAAAGAAATTGGAACTGGTGAGGGATCTTTTGCTGGTACACATTCCGCTCCAAGCGAAACCTGCCCCAATCCTGAGTCCCACTCCCTCTGGAGGGGCTGACCCTGACACATGCCACACAGAACCGCATGTCTTGATGACCGGGTGTATGTTGGAAGCTCCACCAGGCAACTCTGACACGCAGGCACCACGGCACATTCATGGGAGGCCCATCCTCGGCACAGCCGACACAAAACTGCAAGCGCGAGACCATCCCCAACCTGGAAAAGGGTGTGACACGGGGAGAGGGACGACGCGGACAAGTGCGGGGAAAACAGGTTATCCCTGGAATCCAAAACCCAGCGCCCTACAAGCCCCGAACCCAGCTCCCTAACCCGTCTGCGATGCCTGACCCGGGGCCTGGCCCCCCACTGCTCCCCCTGGCGGGGTTCGGCTTCGGCCTCGTGCTGCGAGGTCCGGCATCACCGAGGCCTGCGAGGGTGGCAGATCCGGGGGAAGGCCTGGATCGACCTGCATGCGTCTGTGCTTGGCTTCATCGGACTTAAGAGCTTCCAGCTTCCTCTTTTGCTCTTCGGTAAGGCTGGCCTCTTGCATGCCCAAAGCCTGCAGGACAGATTCCACTCCATTGTTGACCTCTTCCGCGCAATGCTTGACCACCTTGTCATATTCCTTGGTGGTCTTCGCGACTTCCACCTTTGCCTCCTCGATAGCATTCTGGATGTCCTGCATCTTGTGAAGCATTGCTCGCAAGTTGTCCTTGGCTGTGTCGATCTCCTCCTGCAGTCTTAGTTTCCTCTGGCCCAGATCACGGAGCTTGCCATCTTTCAGCTGCACACAGGCCTCTTTAGGAAGAGTATCCCAAACCTTCCACAAGCAGTCATGGACCTTGTTGGTCTTGGGCTTGCGAGGTCGGGGCTTCGGCTCCGGCTTGGACCAGGTCTTGGGGATGGGCACGCACCACTGACACTTGGGGAACTTGGGCACCTTTGCCGCGAAGATCCAACTGGCCGGGCCACACTTCTTGCAAACGTGACAACGTCCACCAGCCATGGTGACTGTGAAGACGAAGCCAATGGGTGCCTTGCCAAGAATTTGGCAAGGACGCATCCGTGATTAGCCAACTAAGCTTCAAGCTGGTGCCAAGTTGGGTCTCACTTTCAGATTCGTCCTTAATGCTGACCTACCTGCAGGCTGCAGGGCCACGAAGAAGGCGCTCCAGCAAATCCTTCAGGCTGGGTCCTTGTGCATTGGAGGGGGACGAACAATGCAAGACTGCTTTGTCTTGAAGTCTTGAATGCAGCTAAAGACAAGTTTAGCAAGCCAAGAACACGCGTATCAACGGCGTTTTTTTGTTTTCTTGAGTGTTGATGCAAACAGTATTCGATAGAAAAAATCTTGTTTGTTCTGTGAGTTGATTTCAATTGTTATTGAACTCAAATGGGTTCCAAAAGCAGCTCAATTCTGGGCAGTGAAAACGGGCCCTAGATTTTGGATTTCCTGTGTGAACATACAAGGCCACCCGGTTGGAGCCTCAAATTGGAACCCAAGTTAGGAGTCGAGCCAGTTGCAGCGTTTTTTTCACACACGGGAAGCCAGATCTGGCTTTCACAGCTCCTCGTTGCAAGTAAAACAAACAAGCCTCTCAGTCGGTTCCAGTCTAAGTCTTGTGTCAGTCTTCCCCCAAAATTAGAACAGCAGGCAGCAAGGCGGCAAAGTGTGAACTTGTTTGGAACCGGAACTTTCTCTGACTGTGGAGGTCACTGGAGCTTCCCTGCCTTTTCGATCAATTTTGCTGCCCCTCATCTTGAATTTCAGATTCTCTAGGTTTTGGTGCAAGGCCTGAAGGCAGAAGAGGAGAAAAGAAGGGTGCAGAGTCAACATCGGTGGCGAGTTCAACCGTGGTGTTGATTCGTTCAGATTGCCACTTGAAAATTGCAAAGTGTATTACCAGAATGTGAATAAGTGCGAGCGAAGCGAGCGAAACACCAGAGTAAATTCAACAAATTTAAGTGATCAAGTGTTGATTTTGAGGTTTTTTTCAACATTTTCGGAGACTTCAGAAATTTTGAAAGTTCGTTGAATGGTGCTGAATCCAGGGAAGAATTGCAACACGCAACCAAAAACGAAAGACAAAGAATTGAGGGCACCCAGCCTGAAGAAAGCAGAGTTCCTTCTGCTCAATCTTTTGTCAAATTTCCGTGTGTCTTGAATTTCTGTTTGGTCATTTTGGAAAATCAAAGACAAGAGAATGCAATCGAAGCTTTGTCAAGGAATGGAAATCGAGGCTAGGCGACTCTCAAGTTGTTCTGGCTGTGATGAGAGGTCAGTGTGATTGTTTTTTTCAATGTTAGCAAGAACTGCAAAAACATTGGTTTTTCTTTGAACTTTGGAGAAATCGAGAAAACACTGGAAAGAAGCCAGAGTCGTGAAACTTAGACAATTTTTTTCAGATTCAGCAGCAGATTCATACACAGCAACACTTTTTTTTGTTTTTTTCAGTTCAAATTGCCTTTCCGTCTGAAAAGAATTTCTCTTGCTTTTGTTCAATTTTTCTTTGGTTTTTGTCGGGATGATCTCTCGGTTGAGTTGCAAGCTTCAGAAAGAGAGAGTTTCGAGAAACCACCCTAAACCAAAACACAAACAGATTGGTTCAGCAAGTGTTTTGGTGAGTGCTGTCAGCCCGGTAAGCTGTCGATTGACCAGAAAGACAGTGAAAAAAACTGCAATCGGAACTTAAAGACATCCATAAGAATGTGCATTTTGTGGTTTTCGGCTGTTTTTCTGAGTGCGCATGTGCAAGAGCGTTGTGGATATGTGTGTGTGTAAGCATTTGTGGTTGGAAAGTAGGTTGGTTTGCGGGTGCATGTCTTTGGCTTCAGTGTGCAAGGAAAGTGTCAGTGTGTAGGTAAAGGGTGGTAGGCATGGAGTCTCAGAAGTGACACCAAATTAAAAAACAGTGACCTTGCAGTGTCTGTGTGTGTTTACCTCAGCTTTTTCATTGTGAATGGGTGTGGTGTATTGTGGTTTCGGTTTTGGGCTTTGGTGGGTGGTGTGCGTTTGCGTGTATGTCGGCTGGTTCTGCTGGCTGTTCAAGTGTGGAAGTGTGCGGGTGGTGAAGGGTGTGTGGATTTGGGGACACAAAAAGAGGGCAAGAAATCAACCCCAAAAGGTAGGGAAGCCGAAGTGACCTCCACAGTGGGCGAGACAGGCCGGAAGCCGAAGGCCCAAGCAGCTGCTACGCCCAAGCACAAGAAGAAGAAAGAGCTGAACTAGGAAAATCTGAGAGGGACCTCCCATTTGGGTTGAGGTTTCTCGGGGCAAGTAGACAGTGTCATACACACTCCTATGGTAGAGGCTAGATAGCTGTCTGGCCGACCTTCCTTAAACGGGGTGAGGTCCTCTGCGCGTAATTCAGGTTCCACGGACTGCTGATGTGTGTGACCCTCTAGTTTCCCAGTTGACGTGATGTGCACTTGTGAAGATTACTTTGGAGGGCATCTGCCGACAACAATCAACAGCCTTCGGACCAGGAAGTCTGGCTGC